ATTAGATTACGAAAGACCGCCAAAATGATGCGTGTGACCTTCTCCTTGGCGCAATCGCTCAATATATCAGCCAATATGGGTATAACACTGAACTTGTTCATCTTGGCCGCCAGCAAGGGATTGAAGGTGAGCACCCACAGGCAGAAGATCAACTGGTATTGCACCTATGAATAAGAAATCGAATTTAAATTGTACCAAACAATTTACACATTTCAATTTCAAACTCACCTGAAAGTTGACGCGCGTCGACAGGATGCGTATCAGGGTGCTGATGCCATCGACGCTGACAAACGCGAACCGATAGTCATCCACGCGGAGCATCATCTGGAGGCAGCGCGCCACCGACTGGATGTACTCGTTGTTCTGTGGAGGCAACACGGGCATTATCAATATGGGTCTAGCTTGCTCCGATACCAGAGCTTTTATGTATGTATTTGATTTTTGCTTTTTTAGTAGCGAGTTAGTTATGACAGTTTATTTTTTGTTTTTTAGATTTTGCAGATTTTTTTCTAATTGACAACCAAAGTTGTTTCGACTACGCGCTACAACAACAGCAACACAACAGTTACTATAGCTACATAATAGAGAGTGGAAGAGACAGACAGAGGAGTGTGCTCTAAATAAACCAAAAAAAAAATATATATAAACAATAGATAAATAAATAAATATATAAGACAGATATCGCAGTCCTGCATGGTAGTCCATATACGATGGGCATGACAATAGTTTGTTTTTGTTTGTGTTTGCGTTCACACCTTCACCGGGTTTTTTGTTTTTGTTTGTTGTTCTTTTTTAAATTAAATTTACCTTTACCTTAACCTTTACCGTTTAACATAGATCATTTAACGTATTATACATTTGTTGCTCTGCTGCTCGTCTTCAATTTAGATCGATGGTATTTAGTGGAGTTAGTAAACAGTTATCATTTGATAAAGTATATATACAGACACGCACACTAACACACGCACACATAACGTTTATGCAGTTCAGAGATTACGATATTTAATTACGATATTTCTCCTATTTGAACTAGCAGATCGCACAAGTAAAAGTTTTAACAAATTATGTTGTATATAACTTTCTATAGGCAGACTTATTTAAGAAATATAAGTGAAAATCGTATGCTTTATAAGCAAATATCATCTTGAACCAAAATTTGGTACTTTTGAAAAACGTTTGTTTAAATAAATAAGAAATTTCAAATTCATAAGCACGTACAATGCATTCCAATGTGTTTCAAATTTTCCAGAAATTATAGCTGAAACGTATCTATATGAAATCTGAATTATTTGCACAATAATAATTTGACGAGCATTGAATACGATATTTTCATAGACTACCGTAGCAGATTACGATCATAGATATATACGATATTGGATATTATTAATGCGAATTCTTAGCACATATTTTTGCGGCCAACTGCATATCGTATTCACGATATTTTAAAGCATAAACGAGTGAGCATGTGTGTGTGTTTGGTTGTGTTTGGGTAGTTTCTTAATAATTGGTTTGTGTATTTTTGTCTGTGAGTGTGTGTGTGTGTGGGTGTTTGGTTGGGTGAGTGATTGGATAGTTTTTGGGCTGCATTTTGGAATACCGGTATAACACATTTGCCATCCTGCTGCTTTTCGGAAGAGGAGGAGGATCGCACCTCGCGGTAACTCTCATTGGCCAGATCGTGACGCTGCTGCATCTGGGCCACATTGGGACTGTACTGGTGGCCATGATGATCTTTGCCATGCTGTCCATGCGTATGCACAATGATCGTTTGCGCCCGCTTGGCCATCAGGGCCATCTCTTGCAGATAGGCAGTGCTCTAAGAGTGTGGGTCAGAGTGCGTGCGTGGGGCGGGCGGACGGGCGGGCGGGCGGTCGGTCGGTACGGGTGGATCAGCGCGCACATCCGCCGAGTTCGTGTTTGTTGTTGGTAATTCAGTTATTGGTGTTGAGTCAACAATTTGATTCGTTGGTTTTTTGTTTGTTTGAATAGTAAATTGGCATTAAATTAAAATACATAATAAAAGTAGGTTTGTTTCACAAAACAAAATTAGTGCAACAGGTAAGATTGGTGTTTGTTGACTTTTGACGCAGGAAATAACAGAAATCGTAACGATTAAACGTAATATGATTGTTTATTTGATTTTGTTGCGGTGAAAGTGGTGCAGTTGGTGGTTGGTGGCTCAGTTGCACACTGCGGACGTGAATGCGATCGATGCGGTGCGGTGCGGTGCGATGCGATGATACTAATATTATATTATATTATATATATGTATATTGCTTTTAACTTTTCGCAACGGTTAAACGAACATTATTGATTGAATTGTTTACCCGATGGTGACGATGAAATCTTATGACACAATCGTGTACACATAACACGAATAGAATGAAAAGATATTTTAATCACGGCCGCAGGTCAGGCAAGGTCTCGTTAAGTTACACAAAAAAAAATATATATAAATAGTTTTATATACGTTTAGCTAAGTTTTTTGTTTGCCTGGCCCTGACCAACGCTTATTTTAGGGCTCATTTTTAGAGTTTTCACGCCTGGACATAACTTTGGACGTACATGTTTTTTTTTTTTTTGGTAAGTACAATTTGTAAAGCAAGCAAAGTTAACGAAAAGCGTGCAGTTTATTTTCTGTTAAGTGCAATTAAATAAAATGCAAATATTGTCATATTGCCAGTATTTTTAAAGTAAGTGAAGTCAACGGGAAGCATTATTGGTTGGATTCAAGTTCGTCTTTTGAATTTAGAAAACCATTTAATATTATTTAAAAACGCTCTAGCTTGAAGCAAAAATAAACTTTGTCCAGAATGCAACTGTAAAAACCTCATTAAAAAGGAAACTCAATTATCAACTATCTTGTGATGATCATAAATTAAGTTTTGGCAAGTGAAACCTTTTAGTTGCCCATTTACATTTGAAAAGATAGATGTAAATTGAATCAATAGGAGCTATTGGTCGAAAATCGGCCCTAGCTAAAATACAACACAAACAATATTTCAATATTTATATGACTAACTTGGAGAAGCTTATTATATAGCTGTCATAGAACTAACCAGACTAAATTAGAATAGAATAAAATTTCTAATCAAGTATACGAGCAAAGGTTATATAGGCATGGTCGCCCATCCGACTGTGTAAGCTACCCTTACAATTAAAATGGGTATATGTCGGCGACATATGAATCGGTTGACCATATTCATAGGATAAATAACTTAAATTAAGTTTTTGTATGAGGTCTCTTATCTATTTAATCTATATTATCTGTTTTTTATGTTCCATCCTGATATATATACCATCCATTTATGGTACCCATAACAAATAAAGTTTCATTACAGTTCAGCTGCGCTGTACACAATATTATGGAGATACAAATATGTGTACTTATTGACCAGTTTCTATATGCAATTTCTTATTTCTAATTGTAAACATAAAACATGGAAACATGCAAGGGAGTCATGCTTAGAATACTTTACTGATTTGTCGATATTTCGAAATTGAATATGTTTTATAATATACCGATGATAACGATGTTGTCATTAGATGTTGGGAGTGGCTAAATTGTTCTTTGTCTAATCAATTTATAAACAAGGCCAGAACAGAATAAAATATGTATAAATGCTTATAACTAAACTAAAAAATATTCTTCAATATACAGTGAAAGTTGTCTTAACGGACAGCTCCTTAAGGCAAACTGTTTAGAAGGGCATAAAATCGAAATCTAAAATTTGACTTTAAATTAAACCAAATTGGAATATTAAAAAAAACTTTAGAGAAGTTTAATTGAATATGGCTTTGGCCGTGTTTTTGTTATTGGTTCGATATGTTCATCTTCTTATGTTCCATCGCTGCAGCTGTCGATTTGAAACTGTTTTCACTGTATACTGTAATCGTTTCCTAAAAAATACGAATAGGCTGTTGTCCCAACTACATAGAGATTGTTAGTATTGCTCAGAATAAATATTGATTCAGGCCTAGAATATAAATAATGTCATGCTGCATGCTATATATACATAGAGATGTCTATATATGTACCTAGTGTAGCTGACTGGGTTTCTATTTACAACATACACATGCAATTGGAATTGGGAATGGGCATGGACATATCGCTAGTGCTTGGGCCTACTTACATTGCTGGCCAGCTGGTCCTTGAGGAACTGCAAGTAGAAGTTGAGGTCGGACTTGGGCATGGTCTCGTGGCCCCAGCAGGCAAACTTGGCCAATATGCGGGACGCCATGTTGACAATGAAGCCATCCTGGCGGTTTAACAAGTTCAAGAACGGACCCCAGACGCACTGCTTTAACTTGCCGGACGTCTCGTGGAACAGATCGACACGAGAGCGATCCTCCTGCAGCAGATCGTCCAGCAGCACGAGTATATACTGAATTGTCGAGTCCTTGGACAGGTGCGAGACCAGATTCAGCAGCGTCTTTACCACCTGCGTAGAGTTCTGTGCCAAATAGGAGGCGCGCGATTTGTCCAGCGCGCTAATAGCCTGAAAATCCTCCTGGCTGATCATCTGCGACTGCATATACGACGCCCAGTTGATGGTCTTGGTGCGTATATCGGCTGCCTGCTGCTGCAGCACCGAAGTGGCAGCAATCATGTCTGTGAATGCAAAGGCAGTTGCAGTTAACTATTATATGCGACTTGGTGCCCGCGGGGCAGCTGCACTGGCATCACTTCGATTTTTCACAGAGGTCAGCTGCTCGCTTGCTTGCATGGTGGCTCTTACCGATGTTATCCTCGGGCAAATACAGTGCGGTAGTCATTTTGATCGCTGTTTATAGTGTGTCGAGAGTGATACGCAATATATGGGATGTTGCGCGCGTTTGCACACAATTTCAATAGAAATGTCTAGGAAAAAATATATTTAAATTACGAGTGTCTTTTCACACTAATGCGACAGCACCGAAATTCAGCTGACTGGTCTTGTGACTTATTCGCCGTGTTCGCCGCGCTCAAGCGTTGCCACCCGGCTCGAATTGTAGTGTGTTGGCAATTTGATGCGAATGGCAAAATTCAAGCTGTGGCGACACATTCAACGCTGTCATAATTCTTGCGGCGAATAAGAGAAAAATGATATTGTTCAGGCATAGCGTTTTCCACATAAGCGTATTAACAATAAACTGTAATCTAAAATTCTTATTATCTGTACACATTTAAATATGTAATAAAGCTCAAGTGTGGTTCTCTGCCCACAAATCAAACAGGTGTCATCCGAATATAAACAGTGCAGCTTTCGTCTATATGCAAAACCCGAACTTATGGAATTCACGCCGCATTTAAAGCGCAAGCGAAGTAGTTGCAAAGACTTTCTTAAACTTGCACCCTTTCCGCTAAGAGATGATGGACAACGCTATAAAGGCATCTTCAATGGCCTCTGTGTCGAGGTAGAGGATGCAGAGCATGCATCGTTTAGGACGCTACACGACAACGGCTGCTATGGCAAAGGAAGTATTTCGCGCGGCGGACCAGTTTCTGGAGAGGCAGATGAGACGCTTTTGCTCGGCCTGGAGGAGGCATGTTTGCTGGGCTACTATTTAGGCGTATTGGAGATTAGAGACATGTTGGGCAACGAGATTAGCTGGCAATCGTACGTGCAAGCGGCGCTGGATTATGACAGGCAATTTTTCTACAAACTGGCTTCGTATCTCTATCTAAAATCTAGAAATTGGATAATCAAGAGCGGCATCAAGTTTGGTGGCGACTTTCGTAAGTTATTTGCTGGAAATACTTCAAAATTAAACAGCGTTTCATTTGGTATCAACTCTCCACAGTCATCTACAAGCAAGGTCCTCGGCAATATCACGCCAGTTTCTTGGTGCTGGTTCAAGTGTCGGGCAACGTAATGCACACCCATTACGTGGCGAAGAATTTAAAGGGAGTTCAACGTGTTGCCGAAACCTCGGACAAGGATGTCCTCATTCTCACGGTGAACCAGCTGAACGACGACGTTGACCCTGCGCCGTCCACACCGGCAACCCTGCAATCCCTGACCATTGAGGAGACTGTGATACGGCGCTTTAACTACACATCTTTTGTGCAAAGTAAACAAAAACAATAACAAGCCTAAACTACATTTTCTGCACACGGTGCTTCTTGGCTATCCCCGTGCTACGGTAATCTGATCGCTCCTGCAAATAGATGGCTTTGCACTCCTCCTTAAAGGCTTCGTTTTGATACCACTGGGTCAGGCAATCCTTCAGCGCAGAGTTCTGTTTCCGACAGGTGGCTACCATGAATATGCTGCTCGCCTTACAGCATTCCTCAAAGTCCGCCACCTCTTTGGAGCAGAATTCGTCGCGCGCGCGATCCCTCATTATTTTTGGTATTAGCACTTCTCGCTCTACCTTGCGCAACTTTGTGTCATTTGGATCACCTGAAAGCGGCACCAAAATGAATAACTAAATGATATTGTGTAATTGCACACCTTACCCAGACCATGGGGATTGCGGGGATTTATCGCAGCTTGTTCTTGCGCTAAGTTCATTTTGTGTGTGGGTGTATTTATATTCTCGGCTCCGGTGGGCTACTTTGACCTAAGATGTCAAATAGTATGACCGTACTACAATTCTAAGAAAATACTACATTTAAAACTAAGTTGAACTATCGATTAATTGCATTAAATGGCACGCGTTGGCAGCTATGTAAATAATATCGCAGAGACCTTCGATTGTTTATGTTACACAACACTGGATACTTCCGCCTCTTTTTCTGCCAGCCTGCAGCGCCTTTGGACGTGTGTCAAAAGCGCTCCCGTTGCAATTTTATTAGTTATATTAAAACATGTCTGAGACATTGCAATTGCGTGGTACGCTGATCGGCCACAATGGCTGGGTCACCCAGATTGCCACCAACCCCAAGGATCCCGACACCATCATTTCGGCATCGCGTGGCAAGTATTCTTAACAATTGTGAGGTTAGGTGGCGTCCTTAAAATCGGCCCATAACTTCGACATCTCTGCAATATATTTAAATATTAATAGTTTTATTAATTAATATATTTATGGTTTTACAGATAAGACTTTGATTGTCTGGAAGTTGACCCGTGATGAGGATACCAACTACGGTTATCCCCAGAAGCGTCTGTACGGACACTCCCACTTCATCAGCGATGTTGTGCTCTCGTCCGATGGCAACTACGCTCTGTCCGGATCTTGGGATCAGACTCTGCGCCTTTGGGATTTGGCTGCCGGCAAGACTACTCGTCGCTTCGAGGGACACACCAAGGTGGGATAAGTTTCCAAGTGATATGTTTTAGCACAGGGCTCAGATTTGCCGCAGCATTTACTGCTGTTATCTTAACTCCCAACCCAAATGGTATTGGTGTATCCATGACCTGTAGCGTAAGGTTAGGCTCAGTTAGCACACCAATACCACTATACATATATATATGTATGGAAAAAAAATATTGCGCCTATGCGAGGCAGAAATTCTGGTTGACATCTGTAAATTTCTCTACGCCTGAGTCGACAAACTTTTGCGTGCAGACGTTCCGTAAGTAGGCAAAAAGATCTACCCGCTGCTCATATTAACTACATTCACTAATCTAGGGATTCATCAGCTAATATGCTCTTGTTATTTGCTTATAGGATGTTCTCTCGGTTGCCTTCTCGGCTGATAACCGTCAGATCGTGTCGGGCTCTCGGGACAAGACCATCAAGCTGTGGAACACTTTGGCTGAGTGCAAGTTCACCATCCAGGAAGATGGCCATACCGATTGGGTGTCGTGCGTGCGTTTCTCGCCCAACCACTCGAATCCCATCATTGTGTCCTGCGGCTGGGATCGTACCGTCAAGGTCTGGAACTTGGCCAACTGCAAGTTGAAGAACAATCATCATGGCCACAATGGCTATCTGAACACTGTGACCGTCTCGCCCGATGGCTCGCTCTGCACGTCTGGTGGCAAGGACTCCAAGGCTCTCTTGTGGGATCTGAATGACGGCAAGAACCTGTACACCCTGGAGCACAACGACATCATCAATGCCCTGTGCTTCTCGCCCAACCGCTACTGGTTGTGCGTCGCCTATGGCCCATCCATCAAGATCTGGGATCTGGCATGCAAGAAGACCGTCGAGGAGCTCCGCCCTGAGGTCGTCTCGCAAACAACAAAGGCCGAGCAGCCACAGTGCCTCTCCCTGGCCTGGTCCACCGATGGACAGACCCTGTTCGCCGGTTACTCCGACAACACCATCCGCGTCTGGCAAGTGTCTGTATCAGCTCACTAAACGGACTTTATATTTGACATAGCCTGTATAAATCGATGGCAAATTGATTTGTTTATGCCAAAACAACAATAAATATAAAGCGACACTTATAAAATAAATCAAATATTGTGGTTGTTATTAAAATTGGGATATGTGCGAAGATAAGATGTTTCCGATTATGGAGTTAGTATAAAAAATTGCCCAATTTTTAATTAAAATTTATATGCGCTCGATTTAATGTTTAGGGAACAATAATTTAAAACCTCAGAAGCATCCGCTTTATTCATTAAATTGGAACGCTTCGTCCCCAGAGATGATTATACTTTAAAAAATGGTTTTCAAGCCCCAGAGAACAGATCGCATAGTCTAATAAATATATATATTTAAAGATATTTTTAAAAATAATCACCTTGCTTCAACATTAAAGCATTTGCTTTGAAAACTGATTTAAGAAGCGACTTGAATATCTCGACATATCCTTTAAAAATTAGTTGATAGATTAATTAGGTAAACTTTTCGGGCATTTTATTTGTAAACTTGTTTATAAGTTAGAAAAAATTGTTTTGGTTTACAAATGCAAGTGCATAACAAAAATAATTTAAATAAATATTTATGAGCTTGATGAGTGGTGTACAGGAAGTTGGGGTTAACAAGGTGCGTTGACGTGAGATGTGGCTAAACAATTTGTACAAATCAACAATTTTAAATATTTGTAAAAATCCTAATACGAAAACAATATAAAAAGACCCAGTTTTGAGTCAGCATTAAATAAATATAGTTCGTGCTGGCGACGGTACAAAAGCATCGCGAATGCTTATTAATAAATATTTTGGGCACTTTATTAGGTTGCTATTTAAATAGGGCAGGGAGGCCTAAGAGCATTTTTGTATATGAGCAATCCCATCACTTGGTTTTAATTGAATTCGAGCGGTCGAGGACGTTCTTCACAGACGGTGATTTGGCCAAAGGAGCATCGCCTGTTTTGCCAGCCGATGAGCTGCAAATTTTGTAGACGTCGTTCCTAAAGACAATTACCAATACGGTTATGTTGTCCACAGAGCCGCGCTTATACGATTCCATGGCCAGTGACTTGGCCCCAAAGTCTGGCTCCTTGAGATGATCCTGCACAAAACTGCAGGCCTCCTCGTTGCTGAATGTATCCCAAAGGCCGTCCGATGCGAGTATTAGAAAACGCGGCCTGCCAACACAGATGACGCAGTATAAACAAGTTCATTAACTTGAACAAAATCAAATCCAGGGCAGCTGTACTCACTTGTGATCATTTAGCTCGAAGGTCAAAATGTCCGGTGTAGCTATGACTAGATTCTGTGTATGGGTAGTAAAACGTGTAGGCTGATTAGCATTATTATTCTATGTATATATTAAAGATGTGACGTGAAAATTCTCCCGTCACGCCACCAATATACGCGAACGGCTTACCTTATCTTTAAGGGGATAATCACCCAGCGCCCGTGACGTGGCCAAGACCCCAGCCACGCGCCAAACGCCGCGAAAGGCAATAAAGCCGCCAGCATCGTGTATGCGTTTGCGTTCCCGCACCTGCTGCGGCTTATGATCAAAGGACAATGGTATGGCAATGCCACGTGCATCAAACATAACGCCACGCGAATCACCCACATTGGCCACAATCAGTTTGCTGTCCTTCACAATCGCAATCAATGCTGTGGTCCCGGCTATGTTCGTCTGCGAAGTGCAAGTAAGGATAATTTTGGCAGTAGTTTTGGGGCACATATACTCACTGCGAGCTTGGCCTGCTCGACCAGCTTGTGATCGGCCGACATTATCTCGTCTGTGATGAGCTTGCCAAAATTGATGCGTCCATTTTCGATATAGCATTTGGCGTCATAGCTGGGCGGCGGCGCATTGCCGGAGTTTTGCGCATTATTATTGTTATTAAGAAATGCATCTTTGGCCGCGCTGTTGCCGCTGGCGCGCATCGCGCTGTTCAGCTGCGCTGTGTAGATGTCGGCTACAGTTGCTTCCGTTGTCTTTTGTTTAATTGCGCTGCAATCGGCTGTCAGGCTGTTTGCCTTCCGCAAACTGTCCCGGCGTGCGACGGCGGGCTCAGCGTTCTCCTTGTTGGACACATCTTTGCGGCTCTGCTTGCGCGACAAATACGGGCTCTTGTCGAAGCCAGTGTAGTCGGTTAAGGCCTCGCTCTTTAAAAGCTTGTTAATCTCGATTATCTTGTTGTAGATATTCTTGACCAAGACATCTCTGGCAAAGTTGGCGGCAAACTCGCCGCCATGTCCATCGAAAACGGCAAAGAACGAAATGTCCGTGTTGTTGTTGATGTTCTCCTCAATGATAAATCTGCACAAGAAATGGGTTCAAATTAATATTAAGTCCAGCTAGATTAGGGCTTCACTCACCTGTCTTCCATTTGCGGTCGGCGTCCTAGCACAGCGAAGGCGGCACTTTGTTGTCGCACCTCCTCCCAGCTCTGATGGTCGCCGGCGCCGCCCGTCATGTCGATGGCACGTGGCGCCTTCTGTCGCCCCAGCGTGGCCTGGATGCGTCCCAATATGCTGCGACTCCACACATCTACCGCTTGCAAATAGATCAACAAGACAAATAAAATGATGCCACAGAAGATGACCTCGGGCCGGAGCACGTAGAGACGACATAGTTTCCATAGATATGCCAAGGGCGAATTGATGGACGAGAAGCCCACTGCGAACTTGGATAGGATTTTCATATGCGAAACGTATGTCTGATAGAAGATCTTGTCTTCCAATTCGTCATCCATTGATGGGGTGTTATTTTAATTGTCCCCGATTCGGCTAATTTTCTGCTATCTTGTGCTATATATTATGTATGTCACAAATGGGTGTGCGCGCTTCTATATGGATTATGCGTATTTTATAATGAAATCAGAGCACTGCCGCACAGAATTCGGGGGCCAGAAAAAAAACACTTGATTCAAAATCGGTATTTCGATTTATTTATTTGCGCACTGTTTGCGTCCGCACTTTTCCTTTCCTTCAGTTGTTTTTCCCTTATTGACGACTTTTGCTTTGTGTCGTTCTCATTTTTGACGTATTAATGCACAGCAACAGATTCGCCCGACTTTTTGTAGCATTATATTATTTCAGAATATTCTTATTAATAGCCTCTGTTGCTTGCATAAAACAAAAACAAGAACAACATCCGTCTGTGTTCATGTGTGTGTGCGTGCCTCTGCGTAAATATACACGCACCTACATACGTATTGCCACAGTAAAACTTCGATGGGAATACCATTCAATCAGCCCCCAAGTGTTAGTTGTTCAAATATATATATGATACTAAAATATTAAACAAGCTTGTTCTGTTTGCTATAATTTTATTTCTGTTATTCTTCTCTGCTTCATTTTAATGAGAGATAGGCCTTTGAGTACTCGTTCGTTTCTTAAAATATATATAAATATTAAACTTTATTGATGCCTTATAGGGAATAGCTCCTGTACGTACGTCGCATATGTGTTTAAAATGTGTGTGGTATTAAATACCAGGGTTGCTGTCATTGATATCGATAGTATCAATTCGAACATTTTCTTATCATCAACACTATCCATACCCCATGTCAATGAGAGCTGCATTCCCTCTTAAATTCATGTTTTAAATTTTTTGTCATGCATTTAAGAATTATAATCTCGTAGAAGAATTATGAAGTTCTACTTCAAGTTATACAAAAAAAAAGTGTAAGACATTTTTCAACCGTGCAATTTATTTTGGAAACAATATCGATAGTCTGCAAATCGCAACGTAATGTGACCATGTTGAAAATATTCAATCTTTTACAGCACTGCTATATTTATACCCTGTTTTTAAATTAAAGTATGTGATTTGTGTTTTAAGTGATGTTTATTTTGAGCTTTATTTTGTACTTCTTTTTTTAACAGGGTTTCAGTGGGCTTTCGTTTTTAGAGTACTTATTTAAAAGTAATTATATGCAATTGTTTTATACCTGCAGGGCTTCTCCCCGAATACATTCTGTCCATATTAAGAGTTTAATACATTTTTCAACATTTTTAAAAAGTTCACTATGAGAGTTCAATAAATTATTTATTAATAATTTTCACCATGAAAAAATACCAAAACCTTATAGTTTTTGTGCAACTTATGAAATGAACAATCAAAACAAGAACTGCATTCGATGCGGAGAAGAATTGCAACAAAACGGAAAGACAAACCGCCAACTGGCATCAGTTTTGTATATAGTATTGTTTATTATGCTTTGCCATGGCGCGCAATAAACAAATATATATACCATATGTGTATATATAGATAGATAGATAGATTGCTTAATGCACAAAATAATATAATTATAATAAAACAATTTTTGAAGGTATTTTTGCTCTTTTGATTCCTTCCCACCAACTGTAAAAATCAAATTTTAAGGTATTTTTACTCTTTTCACAATATCCCAACCTCGAATAGGGAAATAAAACTGGTCTCTTTTTTGTTTTAAGTAGTATGTATTTTAATTATATTTATTGTAGTTTTCATTTAGTTTCGTTGCATTACAAAATATTGTATTGTTTTAAAAAAACTTAGCTCAATAAAAATGGCATAAATTTGAAATGAATATTGCATTTAACATTTGATTGCTTATAGTACAAAACGTAACGGTTACACTTAACGGCGTTAAATAGAAATAACTTTGCCTTCGCTTCACGTTGCTGCTGCTGCTGCTTTACGCATTTGTTCATAAAATATGGCAATGGGTGGAGCTGGCCGCTGGGCTTGCAACTGCAATAAAAGTTGAAGAAGTTGTAAAATTATATATATATATTTTTTTTGTGGAGTATTCATATATTCACTTCTAGAAGCACAGCTTTTCATGGATACTTTTTGGGTTTTTTTTTGGTACCTAATCCCGACGACAAGCTGCGCTTCTGTGTTTTTTTTTCATACTCTCTTCCTAAGGTTCAAACGGCTATATTGGTTTTTGGATAGTCCCTTTTATATATATGCTCTTGTTTACCAACGTTGATAATTAACAGAGCACATTATGTCACTAAAAACACGGCCACTTTCATGAATCGAACAACACTTGCAAATCACAAGAATCTATCTCTTACAGTTTCATAATCACAGTTTGAGAGTGAC